TCTAACAAGATGCATCCGCACTCTACCGTACCCCTTCTCGCCAGGCGGGTACATCGGTTCATCGATCGCATGCTCAGGAATGCTAGAAATCAACTAAACCACAAATCTTCTGTACCCGAGCCCATTCACATGTATGCGTGTTCTATTCAGCCTTCCGTCGACAATGTAAGGTCAGCAGGAAGTCAAGTAGGGACTGCAAAGTGTGGCCTTGCTAGCTCTTAATCGCATGAACACCAACAGCACCCAAGAAGTATGATGCAAATGTCGCTTGGGACAAGCACTGGATGCTTTTTCACGATCTCGTTCTTCTGCATTGGAAGTCGCTTCTCAGCGCCTGTTTGCGGTCGCTGACATTGCCTTCCTTGTCTGCCGGTTTCTGCAATGTTGCATCTTGTGATTTTGAGCTGTTCATTTCAAGTTTGTGTTTCCCAACGTGTTTGAACCAGAATCAAACAGTCTGAATCTCCTCGGCAAAGACAGCACCTGGATTCGTGAAGGTGTTGTTTGCCCACCGGATCCAGAGGCCAAGCCGGCATGCGCAGTAACGCATCATTGATAGCAATTTTGTGGCGTCATTTCTAGGTGCTTGGGCTGGGTGCGGAGATTGGTAGCAAAGAGTAGGGGTTGCGACATGAGCGTGAGTTGCTGCCGCTCATAATGTCTGAATGTTAATGGTAGCTGCTGTTCGTTGGTGCAAGTGGAAGCATTTGGCATTTCAGCAGGTGCCCGATACATCAGCCAGTGCTGAGCCTCCTGGCGCACCTGAGCAGATGTAGAAGGCTGCAGACCACGGTGGCAAAGACTTGCAAAGCTGTCCGATCTTGTGCTTGCAACAGGGTAGTTCAGCTTGTCGCTGGCCATTTCAGGCAGTGCTCAAGCCTTTGCTTGCGAGCACCATGCGTCGCTACCTTCTGAACAAAGGCTATGGATCTCTGGCAGTGTAATCATCGCCAGTAGGGGGAAGCAGTTTTTCAGGCATGGGTCCCTGCCGTGAGTGCCACATATGGTTTGCTTAATGAAGACATTTCACTTCAATGCCTTCCTCAAAGCAATGCTTGAGCGCCACGGACAATAAAGCAGGTCTTTCAGTTGCAGAATCCACAGAGCAGCTGCTATGTCCATGCAATGCTTGCTGCCTGGCCTTGGCTGCCACCGCGTTGCAGGTGTGCAGTGCAGAGTATGAATGCTTTATTGTACCAGTTCCTGGTTTTGCGACCTGTACAGCATTCAGGAACTCCAGATTTCTTGGTTGGAGTCCATACTGAGCAACGATCAAAGCATCCAAAACCGGCTCAACCTTGGGCATCCCGACGTTCCGAAGTTCCAGAACTCCAAAAATTTAACATCTTGCACTTTCAGAACTCTCGCGCAAAACGTCTTGGATCGCCGCTCTGACTTTCTGAACAGACAATTCTGGTTGTCACGATGATGCAGCACGTCTAATTGGTTGTGTTTAAGTGGTGAAACAAGGTACCACTGGTGGGGTTATCTTGCATCGACCCGGTTGTTATGCATCCATGAAGCGTCAATCCCACAGCAAAACGAATATTTTGATGGGTTCCCGTGGGAAAATCCTTCGGTACACAAAATTTCTCTCGGGCTCCTGCAGCGAAATTCCAGTGCAGAATCAGTATTTCTGCGAGCTCCTGTTGCAAAATCCCCGAGTACATACAGTATTGCTCTCAGGTGTTGATGCAAAATCCCCTGGTAGGCGACATGTCTGCGCACTCTTTCCAACTCTTCCAAACACAGCGTCTCCTTGGGGATTTGCTGGTGTAGGGTGGCCAAAATGCATGTGAAACATACTGCAAACGTCAGCGTCTGCCACATAAGTGCAATGTTTACGCCTTGTGTCCGGCTCGTCATGCCGTGATGTATATTTTCCCCAACGATGTATATTTTTTCCTGATGCAGCGTTTACATGGGGAGATGCATCTTCTCACCAGCTGATGTGTGATAACCCCGGCACTTGAAATGGCAGTGATTCTGGGTAATGTTTTTTTTCCTATTTTTACTTGGAAAATCATACTGGTGGACTGTGAGCTTGCTGAGAACGTCTAGTCAAAGTTTCCTGCCCTCTGCCGCATGCCAAGTCGTTAACGTCCTCCTCAAATTTAGTTTGAGCGTTGCAAGAGGCTTCTGCATGGGCCCGTGTGTCCTGGCTTGTACCAGTGTTGGCTAACATGTGCTAGTCGTGTTTTGTTTAGATGTGCGTACGGGAGAGGGGCCTGGCTGCCACCTTCCCGCAACCCCTGTCCCCACCCCTCTCCGCACAGTTGAAAAGGTGTGCGCTGACAGTGTTTGAGGCCACCGCAAAGCATCAACTGCTGTACAACATTGTACTTGAGGTTTCTAGTAAACCCAAGAAGGTGGTTTTCGCAGAATTGAAAGGTTCCCAAATTGATTTTGTGTCCAAGAATGCTCAACCGGACATTGAAAAGCGACTGCAAATTTGCTCCGTTCGACTTTGGCTTGGTGTAAATGCGTTAGGATTGGGAAGCTAAGATGTGTCTCCCCGGGCCCAGCGCAGGCAATTGGCAGGGAGCTGGTGGTGGGAAGGGTGAGGACCCTTGGGGCCCATCCTCGCCTCTGGTGGCGCTAGGGCGAGAGTGCCTGGGCCCAGGACAAACTTTGTATAATAGCGCAGCTTTCAAACCCCAGTCGTACCCCTACGGTATGCGGTCAACTTATTGGTGTATGGGCTATTTCACTGCGGGGGGTAGCGGCCAATTTGTTGGAGGATGAGCTGTTTCACCACGTTCTCACCCGCATGACATGGTGGATGAGCATTTTCAACACGTAGGCAATGCCGACTTTTTGGAGGATGAACGAACGTAAGCACTATGTCCTGGAACACATGCAGGGTCATGGGCTTGAAGGGGCTTAGTACAGCAGCTACTGCAGAGCTAGACAAACGGGCAGCCGGGGCCAGTCAGCAGGTTAGTCTGGAGGGACGGATGTGGGACACACGGCGCACAAACGTTTCGGTAGAACGCAACAACAAGAAAATGTGTTGTTGTTATACCAGAATCCCATAGAAAGTGTTGCTAGGCGCGGAGAACCAACACTCAACTCAAGTTAAAGCAAGATAAATGAATATCACACGCACGCCCATGCCCCGATCCCCAGACCAAACTGGTGGGGGTGTACGTGGCTTTAATGAAAACAGCAAACGCTAGGAATCAAGGTTCAACCATGAACGACAGCCACAAACTTCCATTCAGTGGCTATGCCAAACCCTGAGATGAACACATCCGTTTCCCCAACAAACAAATAGATGTAAATGACATTGAGTTGTAGCGTGGATCCATCGGATCCAACCAAAGACAGACCCTGATCTCACCGGTGCGTCACGTCACTTCCACGTACATGCGCTGCGAGGAAAATCCAGTTACAGGGCAGATCTGACGGCAACTTGCACAAAGTACTCAAAATGAATCTCTTCAGGCACATCGTAAGTGGAGTGGAGTGTGGAGGCGTTGGTTATTAATTTGACTGGATTTTGCATCTGTTAATGGGATTTTGAACTTATGGCAAAAACTCAACGAGCCAAAGACAAATTGAGTGCAAACAGTTTTGCCTAGGCCCTAGGTTGCTTAGCGCGGTGTAGTCAATTAGGACGAGCAAAATCAGATTCAGTTTTGGATGATCATGCTGAGTGTGGACTAGGTGCTACGCTCCCTTCGTCGTTTGGCGTTTGCCCAGCTCCTGGTGCCAAGGCCGCTGATGTTCCCCAGTTGCTTTCGTCTCCACCATGAACAGAAAAATGTCATGTGCAATTTGTTTTTCTTTGCAGCCCCTGGATGCGCAAGCGCCGGCATGCCTGGAGAGCGGCCAGGAGCATGCATTGTGGGGATGTCAATGGTAGTTCATCGTAAGGATGATGACAGGTTGTTGAATTTCGAAAGCCTTGGCTACACATCAATGATTTTGTGACTTGAGGCCAAGTGTGGTTTTTGAGAGCGGAAGCAAAGGAGAGGGAATAACAATAATGCAGCGAGATGCCACAAGTCTTGCAGCACGCAGCAGAGCACGCGATACCTTGTGGCATGATGTGAAAGCGGGTGTGCTTCACGCTGCATTTTCAGGAGTGCAAAACTTTGGCTGAGCGGACCGATCTGAAAAAGTTCGTGAAGTCCATTGATGCGAGCCTCAAGGTCCCAGCCTTCTTCTAGACAACTCTGGATTTTGTCGCGTGTTGAAATGTTGGGTGGAGCAAGAGGATGCTGTCGCCAACGCGAAGTTGGCGCGGCAGCGCTTTGAAGGACGGGTTTCGTGGCTGCAGGCAAGAACATTTCCTGAAAGAGCGCACCGGTCACGTCCAAGGTTTGCGACTTCCGATATGCTGAAATCGAGGACCACACTGCCAAAAGGGGCTCCTGTTTCTTCTCTTTTTCTTTTTTAGTCCGGTACCGAGATGTTGCACTCAGGCTTGGTTTCAACCACAAGGGAAGCCGTACCGGTGTCCTCGGCCTCTGGTGTTGGCTTGCGAGCTACAGCATAGCCATCAGAGCCAGCCTTTCCTGGAGGGGGCCTTACAATGCAAGTCTGAGCTCTTAGAGTCGTGTGGTGCTGTCCCGAAACAGATTTCTACTATCTCCAACGGTTTCTCAAACCGGGCGAAGAAGGCTGTTTTCCGCTGCGTGCCAGGTGCAAACGATCATATCTGTCACGGCTTATGCCTTGCCGATTCCGTGGTTGTTGACCCTGCTTTGATTTGCTGCTTCAAGAGAAAACGAATGTTCTAACGTTGTTGCCAGTCTTGCAGAAGGGTTTGTGAAGTGAGTAACTGTGCGAGGTCCGTCGTGGTCCCAAATCCTTAAATTTAGCAACCTGGAGGACAAAGGCCAAGTGCTCGCAGATGCTTATGGCCAGACTCTCATTCTCGGGAAGTACGTTCTGCATTTGGAGATGGCAGCAAGGTTGCGAAGTCAAGCACTCCAAGCACGTCCAGTCAATGCCTTTGCAGTGTGCTCGTGCGTTCAGGTCCTGATGGGCCTATGGCACCAGGTGGCAGCTACCTCTACGAGCTAAGGCTCTGACTTGTCAATGGGCCAGAGGGTAGGATCACTTACACCCATGAGAAGGGGCTGTGCCATTCCTGCAGGAGATGGGCTGATGCCGTCAACGAGCTTAGTCGGGAATGTGCCCAGCGCCGTGGCGACGTTTGCATAAGTGAAGCCCTGCATGTTAACGACGCTGGCTGACATGGGTGCAGGATGCATTGTTAGCTCTGCATGACCTCATCGCGTGCCAGACCTCCTTGCGTACTTGCGGAACTTCCCAGAATCGGACCAAGATCCAAGTGGAGGTCATGGTGTTCTTGGGTTGGGACCTCAAAGTCTCGAATGTCATGGGCCAGAACTGTTGCACCCTTGACGCTACTCATGACATATTTCAGGCAGAGGGAACAGCAGACGAGATTAAGTAGAGGTCTTAGGAAGCGGAACATTCAGTAACAATAAAACGGCATGATCGCCCTTTTCGGCTTCTCCGATGATGAGCCATCTCTGGACAGCAAGTTTCACCTTAGAGGCTGCCAGGTTACTGTACCTTTAAGGTGCTATCCCTTTCCTTCGCTTTCGGTTCCTCGCTGCAGATACATTGTCTGCGTGACAGCTCTTCCAGCCCAAGGGCTTGGGCAGCATGGCGCTGAATGGCTGGAGCTGTAACCGCCGCCATTGCCCGATCTGCTCAGCTTCGGCAATGGAGTCGCGCTTTGGCCTTGCTGGAATCATCCCAGCAAGCACGCCTCAAGCCCACAGCAGCCCTTTACACTGCCGCCATCGATGCATGTGGTGCTGGTGGTCACTGGGCTGCTGCCTTGAAGCTCTTAGCCAATCTTCAGCTGGTGCTGGTGCCAGACGTTATATGTTATGGAGCAGTCCTTTCCGCCCTCTCCACTGACGCATTGTGGGAGCAGTGTTTGTCAATGCTGATTTCTATGCACGATTGGAGGATTGAAGTGAACCTGGCCTGCGCAACTCAGGCAGTGCCGATCTCAGACCGCATAACGTGCTCAGCCAACTGAGGTGTTACACATTTGGCATTGGCTGGCAGAAGTTGGCATGTTCCGGATGCAGCTCTTGGCTCAAGGAAGGGCGCACTGACCATGCCGCTTCATGGTTGACATTAGTTGGGCGGAGACTGGGATTGCACGTCAAAGCAATAAGCAAAGAAGAGCTTTGTATCCAATCACTTCGTTCACGATATCTTCAAACAATGCAGCATTGCTGCAGGTCCGGGCATGACGACTGCAGGCCTAAGGAGTTGGGTGCCCCATCATTTTGCAGTGCTGCTCGAGAATGCCTTCGATTCAAGGGCTAGTGTTCGAGACAATAGGATACATTGGTTTGTCAGCAAAGGATACTGCGCAGGCTTTCTGTTAAGCACGGACTGCGGGATTTTGCACAGGGGCCCTCCGGGCAGCTGTCTTTCTGGGCGTTAAGATTCTTTCGAATTTCTGTATAGATACATTTCGGCTGAACCGCAACCGAGGCACAGGTTGTTTTCCGATCGTGTGGTGGTCACTGTGGAAAAGTTTATTGGATTGACAAGGGTTCCTGCAAGAACTAGTGTAATGGGTGATGGAATGTGATGGGCAAGGGCGTGACCGCATGGAAACGGGAGCTAATGGAGAAATGACTTGTCTTTTGGGGCTGATCTTGGAGCGACGCTTCTCATAGCTGGATAATGCCGATGATCATCGATGATCGCAACAAGAGACACACCATTCCCAGCCACAGGCGCGAGGTTCATACAGCTTCATTTCTGGATCGTTTCAGGAGCTTGGTGGCGTGCAGTGAGGAGGATTGAAAAGGTTATCATAGGAAGCAGTCAGCTTAAGTTTTCTTATGCTGTGGACCTCTTTAGAAGACTTTTGCATTGCGCCGCTCTGCAGATCTATTCAAGACACCTGTGGCAGGCCCAGAGTGACTACAGTAGTTTGGAGATAGCTGTCAAAAACCCTTCCGTGGGTCATCTCACGGATAGTGTTACTTGATCACTAACGGGATGATGATAAGTTGAAAGAGGATAGCAGGTACTGTGAGAGATGTGAGGGTCATCATAGGGGGTAGTGTACGGGTACTAGAAAGAATCAGCCAATCATCAAGGCACTGTACACAATCGTCATCCATAATAGGACCAGAATCACGCACTGCATCTCAAAATGATTGCCGCAAGAACCAACACTGATCATGACACAGACAGCTGGAGCCTCTAATGACCTCAGAATGCATCAATCTGCAGCATTTGAGACTATTACCAGAAAGTGAGCGGTACAGTAACCTGTTACTTGCAGGCCCTCATACCGTACATGCCGCATGCTTTCAATAAGTGGGAGGCCACAATGTGAGCACACGCCGACCGTTTGCATGCAAAGTTGCCCATGGCGCACAGACGCCAGTCTTGGGCTGGGCAGGGCTGGGCATGCAGCTGCCCGCGAATGCACTACATGTTCTATCCAGGGCAGCATCTTAGGGCGCACGGCACAAGACAGGGCGCGTTTCGAAGCACCGGTGTGAAATGGTGTTAATATGAGCGCAATGGAACATGTATTCTGGACCTATCCCAGCGAATTAGCAAAAAAGAGAGAGCACCCGACAGGCATGTGGCTGAATACAGACAAGTAGGTCCATTTGCTTGGTTCTTGGCGCTTTGAGTTGCTTGGCTAGTGTCGAGTTTTGGTGAGCTCAGAACTTGCTGGCTTCCCCCTGCCCCTGCGCCTCTCGTTTCGGTGAGAACTGTTGATCGGTCACTCGTCATGTTGCATGTCACGGACTCCAGAGCACAAAAGCCTTGCCCAGTGGGCGCATGAGCAACTAGGGCGGAAACGAGCTGAACAGAGAGAATCACAGGAACCTGTGCAGAAAGTACTGTTGGAAAGCGTGCCCGAGAGAGCCGCCGAGCCATGCGCCAGGTACTGGCGTGGCTTCTGCTTGCCTTCTGCGAAGGCATCAAGGTGACAGTAAATCTGCCAGCCAAGGCACGGCCAACTTTGCAGCATGTGCATGCGCAGTTTGTGCAATACGTTGCTGCGCTATTGTACACTTTCAGAAGATGTTTAGATGAAAGCTGTGCCAAAGGAGAAGAAATGCTATGGAGAACAGGCCGCTAGGATGGAGCTTCTCGCACTTCGACTGAAGCAGTGCAGCTTGCAAAATTTATCAGAACAGACGGGTCAGTCTGCTGTCATTGGTCGAGTTCCCTGAACGAGCTGGAACTCAAATCTGCATTCTTCGCATTCTTGCTTCTGATCAGTTTGTGGAGCTCAGCGTTGCAGACGGAAGCAAGGCCGGCCGTGTTGCGTGAAAAGACGTAAAGCAAGAACAACTTGTCCGGAGGTGGGCGTCACTGTGCTGAGTCCTCACGCCACCATTTTCTCGGAGCATGACAGACAACAGGTGAAGACCGCAAGGATCCCAGCTCTCTGGGCACTTTCAGTGTAGGTGACAGAATGAGAGGATCCTAAAGCCTTCGTGGAACCTCAGGCCTTCACGACACAGGAAGCTGGCCCTCATTGGGTTTGTTCCCTGGTAGCACCTGGCATCTAGACGGATCTGAAAATGTCTAACAGATTCACCCCCGAGGCATTCAAAACGACGAGCCCTCCGCAGCAGAGGTCTTGCTAACAGTCCCTTGGTTGGGATTTGCAACACATCCCCTCCAGCTGCCATCTTTCTCTGCTCACAGCGCGAGATGCGCGAGGTCTTGCTCGGTCCAGAAGCAAAGGATTATTCGCAGGTCGCCAAGAAGGCCAGCCATTTCCGCAATCAGCGCTCAGTGTCGTTGAAGATGTAGCAAAGGAGCAACAGTAGCAGAATGTAGCAGAGTCATCATCAGCAGCAGTATAAAGCAGCATGCTGTATCTGCACTTGGGAGATTTTGGTGGCGTCATGTGAGAGACTCAGTGACATAGGTTGCAAGGAATATCTGACAATTATGAATGGTTTTCGCGCGCAGAGCATTGTATTTAGCGTGATTAGGGGAGGGACATGGTTCGTTTATTGGAGGGCAACGATTGTTCCAATGTGGGCGGAACCTTTTCAAAATGATCTTCTCGCTGTGCACAGACCATTTGAAACTTACATCCTGCTGACCCAGACCCTCCTAGCCGGCTGCTCCAGATGTTCAGGTACATGAATCCCCGCCAATCCCTCCATCAAAGCAACTGAGCAGGCTCTAAGCTCTGACTAGGCCGAGCCGGAAGAGTCTCAAAACTCCACACAAGTTTGCGTAAGCAAGGCTCACCAAAGGGATGTCAGTACATCACTGCATGCCCCATCCCAAGGCGACTCAGTACCCGACTCACCCCTGCAGTTGCATTTTACCGAAAGTTAGAAGTCGTGCGCAGGAACACCTGGAAGAATCACAGATTGCATTGCGAAGAGCCGCTTGCATTTGTGTTAATTTGCACTTGCCTTGTCAGCTGGGGGTTACAGGATCTGCAAGCAGTATGCGTGCTGTAAGAGTCAGGATCGCACCAGCCTAAGGTAGAGGAGTCTTTGCGCAATTACCATAGCAACGTGCTCTACATTAGGGCGCGGGAGGAGCGTATGAGGCGCAGACACTTAGCTATCTTCCTCAGGGGCATGTTTCGACCAGAACCAGTTTAATTAAGTTATCTTGATTTGGGAAGGCAGACCAATGATTCCACTGCAAGCAGAGCTACTCGACCGAAGCATGAAGCCGACCAGACCGTTCTGAGCTGTCTGTGCATCATCCTCTTGACTCTTGGTTCCGCTCGAGCTGTCAGGTAATCTTCTTCTGCTTGTTCAACGTATTCCTCATGTGTGCCGTGCAACATTTGGCGTGCTGAGCACATGTCCAAGCGTTTTTCACTATGCTTGTGGTCGCCTATGTTTGGCAGGATTGGCGTCGGTGGTTGGCAGATGCTGTACTTCAAGCGCTTCTTCCGGTCAAAGAAGATAATCTGAACTCCAGTGAGCCTGCCGTGTGCAGCCTCAGTGCTCCGCGTGTGGCCATGCAGCAGTGGACTCCGTGAAAGAGCGGCCTTAACTCTGCGGCCAGCCAACTTAGCGTGTTTGTGGCTGTGGACTGGGTGAAACTGCTCGCCTCGCCGGTAATGCAGTGGAATGTTTGGAGACTTCCTGGAAAGGCTTTCAGCTGCTTGTACTTAGCATTAGGGCTTGCAGGTTGAATATCCTGGGAGCTTGGCAGCTGGAGAGGAAATTGGCATCTTGCACCGTTGCACCATGGCGCATAGGAACGTGCAAGTGCGCAGAAGGGCTATCGGCTAATTATTGCCTATTGCTCATTTTGCGCTATGTGCAGAAGCTGTGTTTCGCGTCATCAGCCGGCAAACTTGGCAAGGTGCGTTCTCAGCTTGCCGCCGGACACGCACCAGGCCTGCCAGGCTGGGATCTATCCCCCGCATGTGTGTCGCATGTGTCGCAGCCGCTTGCAGGATCCAACTGCGAAAGCCATGCGGATCTGAAGGCAGCTGGCAGCTGCTTTCTCAGAATTCACGAGAGGCGGATGTGAGCCTGCAGGAATGGGATCCAACATTCTGGAAGCTGCTTCAGCAGGCGGATGCTATTGCTTTGAGGCGCTCTGATGTCTGCAGATAGTCGGTGAGTTAGTCAGCCCCGCCAGGGATTGCCTTGGGTAAGGGGTTGTGGCGGTTGTGTTGTGCTGTCGTGATGCCAGGACTTTGCTGTGGTTTTGTGAGGAGGTGCCCTAGCCAATGAACGTTTAGCAGCTCTGTGCCATGTGAATGGTTCGGCCAACAAACTGTTCAGTTGTGCTTCGAAAGCGCTTAGCTTTTTTGTAGGCGAGCGGAGCCGTTTGCATTGGGCAGGGCTTTGGTGTTAGCAGCCCTGGGGAGACTGCATCAGGCCCTCTCCTACAAGCATCTAATGTGGACAACTAGTGGCGTCCTTGCCCCAGCGATTTGAGGAGCTCCAAGAACACAAAAAGGACACTCTGTCTGCATTGGCTCTGGAGGTTACGCGGCTGCTTCTAAGTGGCTGGAAGCTGGACCTGGGCGAGTTTCATCCTCTGCAAGCTTCATCATCTTCATCCAGCGAACTTGCACTTGTCCGTGCCAAGGCTGACTGTCTTATCCTCATCACTCAGGGCTTTGTGCGGAAGTGCCTCACATCGCACGCTTCTTGGATGTTATGCGATCATGCAAGCGGCCGGGGCATCTGCTCCATTTAGCTCTGCTGCTTGTCGCTACAGGCCTGCACAGGCCAGTTTTCGAGATAGTGGCCATTCTCCAGGCTCCTTGTCATGGAGTTGTGCAGATTTGTGCTCGAGCCTTCTTGCTAGCGCACAACTTCCCGCTGGCCAGTTGGACACCAGTTTGACGTATGTTGGCATCACTGACCTGGGACCGGCACAAACTCGTCCCAGCTCTGAGCTTGCCCGTCATGGTGCAGGAAAGTGTGTTCAATGTGTTGGCTGTTAGCAGAATATAAGTCTAAGCGGTGCTTGCCGATTGCGATCCACACTACGTGTGTATGTGTGTGGATGCAGCTGGATGCGTGCGTGGACTTCATAGTGAACGTACCTTTTTGTCATCGTGCTCTCGCCACAGTCTTGTGCCCATCGATGTGTGCGTATTGAGGTGATGCGATGGAGTTCTTTCACATCAGCAGACAACCCGGCACGTTCCGGCATGTTCCGTGATCTGGTGCTCTGGTGCGGGGATATGTTTCGGTTCCACACTGCTTGTTCGACAGGGCTTCCTAACGATGACCATGTTTTTTGGAATGTCTGGTCTTCTAACATGCACTTAGCCGCTGTGATCATCAACACCTACGATGATGTAGAAGTGCGTGCCCCAAGCCAACCATGAACTGCCATGTGGCTACATGCGGCTACCTCCTTCATGGTACGTTGTCGTTCGCATCAGGTCTTGCTCGGGATCGTGCTAGTGCTGAGGCTTTGGAGCAGTGGTTTGCCGGCCTTGCTAAAAACGGTGAACGCGCGCAGGCCCTGTGCGCCCGCTTGGCCAAGTCGGGTGTTGCACGCACACCATCTGCGCGAGAAGTGGCTGATCTCTCAGTTTTCGGCAGATGTCCGGCTCCTTCAGAAAGCAGTTCGGGCTTCGCAGTCATGCTGCTAGGAAGCTCCGCTTGTGTACCAGCTGCAGCACCCTGGAGGGTCTTGGAACTTACGACACAACAACTTGTGACTTGTGCCAGTCCTTGGATTGATACCTCACTCAGTGGCGCCGTTTGTGGTTAAGCTGTTAGCCTCAACTCACCTAGGTGGCGCATCCGACACCACTATTGATGAATTGTGGAACAAAAGGAGCATCGCTGTGCAAGCTGGCATTTGCTTCTGGAATTGCCAGCAGTGCTGCAGACACTCGGCTGTTCTACATGTGTTGACACGAGTGTGCATTGTTACTTAGGTCGAAATTGTACAACGAGATGCGGCTTGCTTGCGAGGCTCAGCGGTTTTTTTCTTGTTGTGCTGGCTTTAGCTCAGAAGTGCCTTGGGAGTAAAGGCGGCTATGCGGCTTGCATGTCAGGTTGGGAAAAAGCGGGCGCCAGTGCCAAATGACAGCCAGGATCCTATGCCTGGCTTTTTCCTTTTCCTTACCCCTGCAACAGGTAGCTTTTGGGTGAGCTAATGCATGAAGGCATTTTGCTACTCTGTAGGTCCAGTCTGGTGTGACAACAGGACGGCTCTGTGCGAAAGGACTGCGCAGGGATGTGCTGTACCAAACGCTTGCGTCTTACAAGACTAGACTCAGGCAAAGAAGAGCATCATACTGTGGGCAGTACCGATGTGAAAACGAATCCAAAAAGAATGTAGGCTTGAAGTATGTATGAAGCTTGTTTCTTCTGACTTGATGTCAAACGAGAAGAGGGATTGCAGCTCTAATGCCTTTAGTTGGCTCTTGAAGAGGTTGGGAGTGCGCAAGGCCCATGCACCTTTGCCCAGAAGAGTGGCTTCTTGCTTCTTGCAGAATGGGCCAATGAGGACATCCTGCCGCCACTGGCCATCCCTGCTTGTGTGGTTAGCAGAGGTTGCATCTTCTCTCAAATTTCGGAAATGAATTTTCTTAATTTGCTTGGAATTCTTCGTTTCGATTTGGATGCCAGGTGGCACGAAGTGCATCCGCTGAAGGCGATGCCTCAGCCATGGGTGGACGACCGCGTCGAGTGAGCCCTCCGACAAGTTGCAAAATGAGGTTGCCCTCAGATTGCAGTGTTCGCTACAGGTACGACCAATTACGGAATCTGTGCACTGCGATTGAAAGACCTAGGATAAACCAGTCAGCCAGACACTCAAGATTTTCAGACACCAAGGGTCGCTACATGGCTCCTTTGAATGATGCAGGATCTTGACCGTTACCAGAAGAATGCGGAGGCCGAAAGAGGAATGCGTCTCGTATTTGCTTTGATGCGTCTCTTTCTTACTCTACGCCCTACGTGCAAACACAACTTTCTGCCGATTTCTGCCAGGCCCAAGCCTTGCACCTGCGCGAAGAGTTCTGCAGGCAAATGCTTGGTGCTTGCAGTGCTTACAGAAAGGACCGGTCTTTACTCCTCCGATGTCTGCCTGTGGGCAGCATTGGGCATATCTGACAACAGTGGGTGTTGCTGAGAATCACGAAGATGCGGCTGTGAAACTGCTTTCAGCCACTGGGGACAGGAGCGGGTGGATAGATCTGTTGCTGTTGTCAGGAGTGGTCGTGTCAGAGCGGTGAGGATCCGATACCCGTACTCTTGAGTGTCCGTCTATGTAGCATCTGTTCCCACATGATCCCAAACCTTGATTGAAAGCGGTTGCTGGCGAGATGCTTCATGCCGTTTGTTGGATTGGTCTTGCCACTGTGTCAAACTTGCCGGACTGCCTGAATGCTTGGGCAGAATGGTGGTCGTGGCTAGGTTCGCTAGGTGTTTTGCTGTAGGAAGGATCCTCAAGGTCGCATTGTGCGCAGCGTGACTTCTTCATTTCTTGCCCCGCCTGGCTGCAGCAGTGCCCGTCTCATGCAAATCGCATCAAATAGCAGATTCCACTGCATGCACTGAGCCATGTAAAACATCAAGTCATACAAGCGAGATTGGATCTGTAGACCCGCAGCTCCGCTCGGCGATCCGGGGTAGCGCCAACACCTGGGCCCCACCTACTTGCATTTTGTCAAAGAAAATGGTCCAACACGCCCCAATCCGTCAGCTGCCTCCACGTGTCACTTGCCTGCTAGCAGCCCTGGATGATTTTCTTGGTGATCTATGCTGAAGACCGTGCTAGGTGACGTATGCCTTCTGATAACTTTACAACACATCATACCAAACGTCTGGTCTGTTGTCGAATCGGCTGTCTTCCTAGACAGGCGGGGCCCGCCTGTAGCAATGCAACGGGAGGAAGAACAATTGTGAAAGGTTTGCTGGTGTCCAGTTGCTGGCCTGGAATAGTCATCGCCCGAAGAGTCCCAACCTTACAAGCCAAAATCCGGCTGCCCGAAAAGGCGGGGCCGGCCTGAACAGGCGGGGCCTCCTTCAGCAACGCAATGAAAGGAAGCAGACGGGCCCCATCCGTCAATGGGTTATTGGACTTACCCTGGCAAGGTTTGGGTACGATTAACAATGTATAAGAGCTAAACCTGCAGACCTAGCACTTCATTCAGGCATCCGCGCTTCATTTGCGTGGAATCCCGCAGCAGCAAAGGTACGGGGCCTGTGGGAAGCCTGCTCTGTGAGATCCATGGCCGCTTTCCTTTCCTTGCTTCGGACAGGGACCAAGAGCTGTCCGCTGGCGCATGGATGTTCCGCTGTATTGTGCTCTTGACGAGTGTGTGTTGCAGTTTGCAGGGCAACCCTTGCTATAAGTACAAGCGCTCTAGGGAAGGCATCCACTGTGGCTGTCTGACGAGCTGCAACGCGAGAGTTGCGTGCGATGCCAGCAGGTGTGTCCTGGTGGCATAGGTCTTTTGATACGATGTGGCATGGTGCGATGTATAGCAGGCAAGCGTTGAGTCGGTCTATCAAGATCCATGAAGTTTAACGCTGGTCCTTGATATTGTGGCAGAGGCAAGACTGGCGTGGTTGTCGTCGCAGCAGAACAGGCTGCTTCCTGATTTTGCCTGGTTTGGTGGTGGATGTTGGACAATGAGGACCACGTGGGCCACTGGATTGTAAACTTGGGTTGGTGACAAAGGAGCATTGTTGAAAAATGAGGCATTGTGAACAATTTGCTTGTACTGCCGAAAGCGCGAGCCAAGATGTCTGAAAAACTGCAAGATGAGCTATCCATCGATGGAGTTGGCCAAGCACACGCTTCGTGACAACATGTTTCCGGCGTGTGTTGCGTGAAGAACTCGCAGTTTCCGAGGAAGTGGAGACAGGGAAGGTTGTCAGCAAGGATTGTGATGCTCCTTTGAACAATTGTACACGTTGCTGCTCGCGTCCGCGCTCAGAAGGTCCCTTTTGGTGATGGTATTTTCATGTAGCAGTGTGTGTCACTGCGTTCTTTGTCCTTATCGCATGCCCACGAACGTCCTGCCCAGCCTTGTGTGGACATCCAGGCGAG